GTATATGAATGCTAAGACAGGTGAAAATGCAAATGAGTTAATTGTTTTTAAGTAGGTATTTGTTGCTGTGCCTGCATTTAGACAATAGCTCGGTTCTTTTGTTTAGTGTTGACTGTTTGTCTGAATATATTATGTGAAGTTTCTCGGTTATGCACAGGTTGCAGCGTTTTGTTTTTGGGGAGTAAGCCGATGCTCTGTCGATGATAGACCATATATACTATATATACTATGGTTTTGTGATTTTATTAACCCTTTAAAATGTGTTATTGTACAACAGGTGAAATTATGTGATTTTGGTTTTGCAAGAATCATTGGAGAGAAGTCATTTAGACGGTCAGTAGTTGGTACTCCAGCCTACCTCGCTCCAGAAGTGCTTAGGAACAAATGTTACAATAGATCACTGGACATGTGGTCTGTTGGTGTCATCATTTATGTAAGGTACAGACCACAAACATTTTTAACTATAAATCAAAAAATCCTTCTGAACAAAGAGTAGATGAGCTCTTCAGAGTCAATGACCAGCTGTGTTGAGTTTAAGGAATATAGGCTATAGGTTATTTTATTTTTTAAGTACAGATTATTTGTTGAACTGGCAAAATCAGAACCAGAACCAGAATCATCTTGTACTTTTGTTTTTTATTCGATATGACACTCTTTACTTGGTGGTATGCAATCTGTGGAAATAGTGGGTATAAATGATGATGAACAAACTTTAAAACCACAAGTTAGGGTATTGGCAGATCCAGAAAATTGAAATGGAGAGGCATAGGAAAAGGATTCTGCTATAGGTCCACCATGATTGGGGCTAAGGTTTGAAATTTTATGTCTTCGGCACCTAGATGGCTGGCTTATAATTTTTTTTAATTTAGGAAGGCCCGGGTCACCTAGTTTCTCCTATTTAATCTGCCTTTGCAATTCTTAATATTTATCCTAATGAGAACTATTTTTATGTATATGATTTTATTACTGTAAAAAATATGGAGAAACACATGATTAAAACAAGTTAATTGTCTATTTTACATAATAATTTTGTTGTTGCACATATAGTAGATACTATAATTGTCTGAAACTTTTTTGAAAGTACTACTCTGCCTTATCTCACATATGTTTTTTGCTTTCTATTTTTAACCTTTAGTTTAAGTGGTACTTTCCCATTTAACGAGGATGAAGAAATCACTGATCAGATACACAACGCTGCATTCATGTTCCCGCCGAATCCGTGGAAAGAGATCTCAGATGAGGCGATAGATTTGATAGGCAATCTGTTGCAAGTGAAGATTCGTAAGCGCTACTCGGTGGACAAGTGCCTATCACATGCGTGGCTCCAGGTATTTATACAATTGCATTTGTAGAAAGGGAAAAAAAGCAAGTATGAAGATTTGTTTTACGTGTGTGTTCAGCAGCAATAACTATTTATGAAGTCTTGATTTCTTAGCAAAAACAGACTCTTGTCTAAAAAAAATGAAAAATTACGTTATTAGAATCCTTGTAATCTAGAGTTCAAAAGCTAATAATAAAAATGGTTGAAATGGATAACAAATGGTGAAGATATGATAATATTCATATTTATAAGTTATATAATAATTCTAACATGTAATGTGGGATTTGATGTGGGAAAATAATTAATTTAAAACCATTATTTTATCTTACCCAATAGAACTATGCACTTTGGAAGGATTTACGTCACCTAGAAGGTCAGGTCGGTGAGCGATACCTCACACATGAGAGCGACGACGCGCGATGGGAGGCTTACGCTCGAGAATATGGAGATCAGGAGCCACCTACTAACCGTCTCCAGCTCAGTCCAGGACGTCATCTAGATCGAATCAGTACCTTGTAGAGAAATAACATTGGAAATGAAATCGCACATTGTGTAATTGTGGCTTGTCTGATGATATTGGAAACAGCTCCGTAATTTTACAACAATTCTACCACCTGAGGGTGGCATACATGGTCTGAGTAATGGTATTGTGGGTACAGGTGCTATTGTAGCCATCTTGCAATTTTGGATACTGCTATGATGACAAATCATGCTGAAAATACTAAACATTGTTTACCCAAGATTGCAACATTTTGTCATCTGAAAGTGTAGATATTACCACACTGTTTCTTGCGAATGAGAGGTGAGGCTGTCTGGAGGAATGGTGATCACAGACCAACAACATCGATTGGCTACATACATTGTTTGAAAATAATGAAACCAGATGATTTTTTAGGATTTTTTGTGTGTAATCACAACAAACGACAATATTTTTTAAGGCATTGTTATGATGCTTTCTGCTGTACTTAAGTTAGCAGCAGTAATTCATGTATATTATATAGAGAGTAGAATTTCCTATCACCTGTACACAGCAGAAGACATTTTCAAACTGACTTTATTCATTTTTTAGTCAGTAAATTTTTTAGAAGTTTAAATTTTCTAATTGTTTTTTGCAATATTTTGACTTTTCACCACTTCGGTTTTATGAGAAATGGCTGTTAATTGACCATCTTGATTTAAATTGGCAGACTGAAATATTATTTTAGTGACATTTCCCCCTACTCCCTGTAATCTTCACCTCTGACAGAGCTGGGAACACATTTTCACTATAAGGAAATGTAATGTGAAAAAACTCAAAAAAATTTATTTCAGACAGATGAAGTTTTAAAATTCATAGATTCTATGGAGACCAAGATTGCAACAGAAAAATTAAAACAAATTTGAATGGGAGTATCTGAGGACTATTTAAAATCTCAAAGAGAATGATTATAGGTAGGGCCTTGCTAGCTGCTGTTGTTAGCGACTGCACAAATCTAACTAGTCGGTGCTGGTCTAGGCTAAAAGTGCATTCACTCCAAAATCTGAATTTTTGGATCGGAAGCCCTAACGAATATATCTGAAATTTGCATAGGTATATTAGAATGTGGACGTTTTGTTCAACGCATCATAAATGTAGTCTAAATTTCAGTTCAGATTCAATGTGAATGAAGCTTAGCTATTGCCTGAGGGCCTGTAAAGGCTTGAAGGCAATTTTTGAACACATTATCTAACATTCATGAAATAGTCTCATAATGGCACTTTTACCACAGTTTCAGACTATATTTATTTAATTAAATATCTTTAGTTAATAAAAGATATAAAGTGATGAATTAATACACTACACACATGGTTTTATTTGAACACTTTATTATGACATCGTAAAGTGAGGAATAAAAACACTAAACACATGGTTTTATTCGTAGTCCTAGAGGCTAGGTCTAGGTGACAATCGTTCGTTCGTAACATACGTTTATTGAGCGTTACATACGTATTAGGTCAAAGGTTACCACAAATTTAACCTGTACCGTACGTAAAATCGAGGTTCTACTGTACTTGTCTAAGGCAAAATAACCCACTGTATGCTAATTTTTTTTCATTCCAAGGTTTGTCTTTATTTGGCATTCTACATAACATACTTTGTATAGTTGTAAAATTGATTGTGATTAGTCTAAATTGGAAAAATCCATTTTTTGAAGGGATAATATAAATTCTAATTAAATAAAATATTTAGGCTTACATAATTAAGCCTTCAGTGAATACCATTTAAAGAATGAAACAATTTAGAAAGATATTTTGCTTGAAAGATAAGTTTGATGTTGAAGAGTATTGCTTGGATGTTTAGCATAAATGAAATTTAAATTGTATAGCATTTTGTACTAAGATTTTTTATCACCATCATGAATTATGGAATTATTAGGATGAAAACCTAAAGTTACAAAGGAAGAATAATGTGTAGATTTATTGTTTGATGTTTGGTCAAAAGTCTTCAGCTCTCAGTCCACACTATCAAATTTTCTTTGACAAAATGCCCATATATAGTCATGATGTGACTATATACGGTGATGCTATAATGTCATCATGACCATATTTAGGTATGTCACATGTTTTTGTCAAATTAAATGTGATAGTGTGGACAGAGCTTTACAGTGTGTACTTCCCTGAGGCTAAGTTGATGGGGAGTGAAAGGTAATGTACACATTATATCCAAACGAAGCAACATTAGGTGAAAGGGGTACTTTCCACATGACCTCATTCTTAGAGGAAACATCACAAAATACAAAATGCGTGTTAAAAACACCTAAAACTATCCATTCCTGGTATAATGTGTTACATTTTCATGTATAAGTACCTTTTTGTTCATGACATACATAGGCCTAATAGTACTAATAATTTTTCCCCTGGTATTGTAATAAATCTCTTGATCATGATGGCTAGGTTACTTCCGCTTTAAGTTTGATTCCCTCCCAAAGACATGGCAGCAAAAGAAAGAACTTTATTCAATTATCAGCTTGGATTCACAAGGTTGGAATGCACATAATCATGCCACATTATTCTCTGTCCACACATTCAAATTTTTTTTGACTGTAGCTAGGTTCACATTCAGAATTTAACGTGATCTAGTGGAGCATGATCAAGCCAGTAACTTTATGTGAACCAACCAGAACCAAATAACGTGCTCAGCTTAATCACCTTATTGTGATTTGGTGGAGCATGTTGATTCATCATGATTACCCTTGGTTAACGTGATAAATTAATTCATGAGATCGAATTCAACCAATCAGCTTTCAGTTTATTAAACAGGTCCCAACCTCATTGGATGTGCTTCTGGTAGTTTTCATGCAATACTGCACACATTAGCATAAATAGATCATGATGATGGTTTCTATATGAACAGTTTTCTCAAACATGCTAAAGTTATCATGATGAATAGATCATGATGACTTTATCACTATACCTTATGTGAACGTGCCTAATAACTGTTGTATATACAGTATAATCATGATGTGCCATATATGGTCATAATGTGATATTGCTTGCTTGTATCAAGGTCAGTCGACATAAGCACCATACACACAACATAGGTTTTTGTCCATTGACCTTGATTGACCTTGGATACGAGCAAGCACAGCTCCAACCATGAATTGGCTTATACCTGTAAGCTTATGAATTCCTGCAGTTGTTTGAGATCACTGCCAAACAACACATTACCTTGATATCTTGCCAGCTTCCAGCAGCCATCCCATCACGGTGTCTGTTTTTACTGTATAAACAGTGTTCTTCACCTGGCCAGCAGTTTAATGTTTTAACATTAGACATCAAAGCATGTAAACCAATCACCTGGTCAAAATGTTGTACTGCTTAAAAAGTGAAATGTTTTTTGTGCCAAAGGTGTGTGGACGACTAAATTCAATTGCAATACATTTACTAAAGAACAATGAGATAAGTGAAAATGATGCAGAAACCTTGGACACTTGTTTTGTTTATATAAGGCCAGCTGTTTAGAAAGTCATCAGTAAGACCATGTTGCAATAAAATCCCAAATATTCGTATCGTCATTTTAAATGGACTTTTATGGATAAAAATGTTCGTTTAATTTGACCATTTCTATTTTCCTTAATGAAATCATCAGATGATAAATAATAATAACAAATTATGACTGGCAAGACCTAATGAAATTGTAATGTCAAATAATTATAATAAAATTTAATGACCTTGCCATGTCAGACGATTAATTATGTTTAAATGAAATTCCTTGTTTAAGATCTAGTAAAACGTATAATGCCAAATATAGATATAATAGTGTAGTAGGTGTAGCCATATTAGGTATAACTATGTAAATGCAACACTGGTAGCAATTTACTTGCCAACCTTTAAACATTTATCACACAAGCATTCACCAGCAGACTATGCTGGCTTTGCGAGTTGCAGCCAAAACTGTACCTGATGATGGTCGCACCTAATAAAGCCATCATATTTAGTGCATAATAAATGTTTAAAAGTTAAGAAATTACTACCAATATTGTATTTTACAATGATCAATTATGTATGATAAGGTGAATGCCAATGGATGTTACAGCAAAATTGGAAGTGTTAAGGTTATCAATTTTAGGATGATGTACAGTCACAAAGGAAATGTTATTTTTTGCAGTGTACCTGCAACCACCAGGAACATGACTTGGATGTCCAATACTCTTCCAACAAAGCTGTGTCGGGTGATAGCACTAAAATCGTTTTACCATTCAAAACACTACACAGTATGAGAATCCCTTGGTTTTCTCATTGAATATTTTGCTAATAATAGGCATGCTTGAAAGAGTAGGAATAGGGCCTTTTAAGTCCTTGGTAGAAGCATAGAAGAAATGATTTCTGATTTTCTCTCCTTAGGAATGCTAGCTGGTGCCTTGATGGATGGCATGCCTTCATATATTTGACCTTTGACTTCAGTCACCTGAGCGACCAATTTAGACCATTTTTTATATATAAGAAGTATCTCGATATTTAGTGTTGTGTTGTGACATTTGTTGTAGAGGTGTAAATAATGTTATCCACCTGTATACACTAAATTCATCTTGATTCCTTAGGCCTGAAATAATATGTTGGTACTCAGATACCAGATAGAGAATACGACTTTGGCTATTGTCATGCATCGCAGACGACGTTTGTTCATTGTTTTTCTCACAATTTTGCAATGTATCTGCAGCTGCTTACATGATTAACCTGTTGGATTGCCACTGTAGCTCAAAGGCACACCCCCAGAGATGATAAAATGGAGGTCACACTGTTAGCCTGCCATCAAAAGCATGCATCTAGGATTGCTAAAATAAAACTCTTCCTAAACTGCAATATTTTAATTTAACAACACATTTCATATATTTATATAAATCAAGGTAAACATCTGTTCTTTATAATGCTATAATTAATAGATTCTTATTAATGTTAGGCTAAAAATGAAGATTGCTTTGCAAAATCTTGGAAATCTTACCAAGGAGACCAAAATACTGGTATGGTGTTTGGAAAAGGCCACTTTTCAAGCTTCAATTAATTTGGTTAGTGTACCATGGTTACCATTTTACCAGTCAGTATGCATAGGGCTGGGGATGATTGGGCATAAAGTAACAAATGTCACTTGTGCTTAAGCAATATATAACAGCAATTTTTTTTTTTTTTGGTAATGGATATTGTTCCGACACCTTGTGGTCCATTAAGAAAGTGACACTGAACACCTCAAATTTGTGTAAAATCTTTGGAACAATAATCCACAGCAATTTTTAAATTTTTTTTTGCCTTGTTTTGAAGCAGTACTAGTGTATAATAATGAAGTGGTCATTTAGCAAACAACAAAAAACAGTGGATAATCGACAGAGTAATGGAAATGGAACAAACATGGTCTAAAGCAAACGGGGAAAAAACCAGGAAATGCTGAACTTCTTCAGGGATTCCATAATAACCAGATGGCCATTTATAAACAACACAGTAAACATAAATTGATATATTATCTCGAAACGTATAAGTAATGCCAGAATGTGGTCATTGCTGTTGTAAATTTCACTTACTTACCAGGTTGTTTGAAGGGTGCCCTCATGGAAGATATTTCATATGCAATATGACACTGTCGATTAAAAGCTCTGCATCATCAGAGACCTGCATTTAGTATTTATACAGTGAGTGGTTTTGGTACAAGCCCACCACAGTTATAAGCACATCTTTTACTATATGTCCGATATCACATACAAGTGTTTCTCCAGGCAAAAAAAAGCACATTTGAATAAGTAGCTCAGCTGTTCTTAGAGCAGTGTTGAGAATTTGCCTTTTTATTGGCTATCACTGAAGTTTTTTCATTGAACAGGGGATTCCTCAGTTGTTAGCCCACCCTTCAAAATTGGCCCAAGTTTGTGTTCCAGGGGTGAGCATATACGAGAGGAACAACGGTAATTAGTACGTGTCGTGGAAAGGCAGCATGTAATGGTGATGGTAATAGCAACAGTAGCAAGATGTAACAAAAGTAACAGAGAATGTTTAATGATGAGTGTGTGATAGTAAGATTGTTAATGAAGAATGGCAATGCATTGACCAGGCCAGGATAACGGCATTTGTTTAATACAGTAAACTTCATATCAGAAACTTAATATTCATTATTATGCATTTTTGCAGCTTAATATTTCTATCAGATACTGGATATTAGCACATGTAAATTGTTATAGAGTACTAAATATTTATGCTATGGAATATTAGAACATTTAATTGTTAAGGATACTGAATATTCATTTAATATTTGAATATTCTGCTATTTCAATTGTTTAGGGTACTAAATATTCAGTTTGTGTATTACCAGTGTCGTATTGTAAATAGGACCTTAGGAAGTGGAATGCGAGCCCGCCCTCTGTGTGGGGTCCATTTACAAACTGACATCTAAACAGTTTCATTATAAATATATATTTGTGGAATGTAGTTAGCTTCAAGTGTAATAATATAATATTCTTATGTTTAAAGAGAAAAATATATTGGTAAGTATAGGTTTCACTGCACTGTATCATATTATGAATTGAAAAAGGGGAAAAAATTGAATAAAAATTAGGACACAGTAAATTTGAAATACATTTGCATAGAATAGTAACCAAATGAAATAATATTGTGTGTTTATGTATCAAGGTTCTGCAGCCTTCACTGATTTTGAGCAAAATATTTTGTGTGTTGTCATTATAATTGAGGTAGATGACGAAAGAAGTCTTTCATGCGATATTTATTGGTGCCGATTTACAAATGCTGTAAGTTTTTACACTGATTGATTTTTTTTCCCCAGGGTCTGTAGCACCGTCTTTTGTTGCATACATACTTATTTTTATGGAATTTATTTTCAGAATCTAACTTTTTTTCTTTTTTTTAAAGTTGTATTAACTCATTTTTTTCGGTGCTTTTTCTGCCCTTTTTATTATTTCTGTTTATCACATGTTTGTTACAATAACAGTTTCCAAAATGTTGCATTAATCAGTTTAAATGGCATGCATTCCTGATACTGAGGTAATTGCATTAATAACATAACTTTCCATATGCTTTAAACATACTTAATTTTAAGGTTTTATGAACTTTTCTTTTTGATAAGTACAAGGTATTTTTTATTCTTTCATTATAAAAATGTATGGTTATTGTTTCATGTGTTCTATAGATGTACAAAATATTATGTTAAGTATGGTCTCAAGATTTTGCTATAACATGACAATGATGCAGTCATTTTGAAGTTCTGTGTGAACACAGTTAGAATTTGAAGAGAAGGTGTTGTAATATATAAAATGTTTTGAAAAACATGCCTTGTTTTTAAACTTCAGACAAAAAAATTGAGCACAAACTTTTACAGTAAGTTTCTTTGTCATATTTATATTACCATTTGTCATCCAAATTTGTATTTTTAGTTTTAAAACATTTCAAATTTTCTCTTGCCAGATTTGTAGTTCACACATTCGTCTCTAATTATGAAACATTTTCTTTAAACTGTAAACATCTTGTTTGTGCAGTGTAAACATTCTCTGTATATTTTTTAAATAGGAATTAGAATTTGCAAATAGAGACAGAGGAATTTTGCTGGTTTAAAGTGTAGTGTATACCTCAACAAAATAATGTCAAAGATGCATATCATTGGATAATGAAAAACAAACAATTTCTGTTATGTTGCACTTAACACATGGTTTGTTGATGTTTGTGGTACCTGTGTCGTTCTACTTTCCCACCATTTTTACAGATGAAAATATACATTATGGTACTTGTAGTTAGTTTGATGAGAATTCAAGATTTGTGTAGAGGCTTTAGTCAAACCTTGAGTGGTGTTCAATTCTGGTGGTGACATTTATATCACTATGTGGATAATAAAACACAAAGTAGTGTATACAGATGCATGTCGTTTTGTTGCTGTTATATTTTACCTTTTTCTGAAATGTACTCACAGCGCACAGTGCTTAGCTCAGTAGGCTAAGCTGGTCTAGCTATTGTGCACTGAACCACCGCAGAGACGTTAAGCAGTGGCTGCGCCAGCATCTGTAATCGGGGGGGGGGGGGGGGGGGGACAAAAAAACATAAACATTTTTGGGGGGAATCATGTTTTCCCATAGCAGACATACTGGAGATACAATTGAAGATAAGAGAAAATTAACACATAGCTGGTATTGATCATTCGAAGTGCACTACCGAATACAAGCGAATGCCCTGCGTCAACCTCACTAAAAGTAAAATTTTAGGGTGGCAATATGCTGGGGTGGCCCGAGGTCAGGTGTTGTTTAAAATGTCTGGAAAGTGGTCTTAGCGGGTGAAGCCCCGAAAAATAATAACAATTTAGGGGTTCCATAGGCTTATTTAATTAATTTTATGTAGATAGTCTACTAATGTGTAGAAACCGAAAGGTCCACTGATTAATCTCAGATAAGATAGTATAATACATACTCTAAGTATCGAAATGCACGCCATCGTGTCGGAATTCAGTATTTCGACATTAATTATGTCATTATCTTTCCTGATGATGACATAATTAATGTTGAAATATTGAATCCCAACATGATGTGCATTTCGATACTTGGGAGTACAGTATGTATTATACTATCTAATATGTAGAAAATAAATAACATTTTAATTCTCCGCGTTGGTTTTTCTTCTTTTTTGGGGGGGGGAAGGGAAGAATGCTGGCAGGTTTGGTCTTTAATCATACAAAACCCTTTTAATGTTCTTGATCTGAATTTTTAATTTATTGCCTTGCATCCAGATTTGAACTCTAGTTCAAAAAAATATTTCACAAAATATTTACAGGCCTGGAGGCCTGTAAATATTTTGTCTCCTTTATTTCATATAATATATTTTTGTCTTTTATATGAATTTTATATATATTAATGATATAAATAAAAGATAGATGTATATCCGGGGGAAGAAAAGGGGTCATTAATTAGATGGAGAACTGTACAGTATTTCCATAGCAAAATCATAATCTCCAAAGCTATAAGGCTCGACACCTGATTGCTTTTGCATTATCTTATTAAAAGTTTTCTTCAGCTTGGCAAATAACATGGCATATATTATTTGATTTTGTGATTATGTTTGACTTTGTTATATTGTAATTTTGTTCATTTTCTGTAATTATCCTTTACCTAATAATTATTTAATTTGATTTATATTTAGTATTCATTTAAATTGTGAAGCAAAAATATACTTTAATTCTATTCATTTATCTTTCTGTAAAATTTTTAATTTGGATTTTAGTAAATTCTTAAAATCATATTAGGTGTACAGTAGTTCATTTCTATTGTTACTTGTTATTTCAGTGTATGTTTTGAAAATTCATATGGATTAGCTCTGACTGAATGGACCACCCTGACAAAATATATAATAGGCCTATATTTAAGTAAATTGTTTTAGTGTGGCTTACTCTAACAATTGTTATCTGACAGCAAAGTACACACTGTCAGATTTTGTAGGATGTCTAACCAGAAACATGATAGTTATAGGCTAGCTATGACCATCAACTGACTTTTTTTGTGATACATGATGAATACATTACATTATTATACAAAGACATCCTATTACACATGCTTATCTCCAGAGTATAAATCGAGAAAGAGGTTCTCCACGGATATAATGGAGGTTTCGATTGTGAATGTAGAATGGGAACGTAGAACCATGGAGGTATTACTGTGATAACTTGAAAAAGCTCTGCGCATACAACGCAGAATAAGGTCAGTTTACGAGATGCCTTTGCAGTCTAATGTATGCTCCGCCACCAGTTGCTCAGCTGGCATAGTTTATCAATAATTTGAACATGGCAAAATGGAGAGCATCTTTTTTCAATGCACACTGGCTACAGCTAATTGCTATGGCTGCACAATCATTTCCACCTTAAAGCAAAGAGTATAAATAGAACGAGAGAGCAAAATCCCATTCGTAAAAACGTCACGCCTGTGTAGGACGTCCACTAATGGTTGTATGTTCTTTTTATTACCCAGTGCAGCGCTGCGCAGCGCGGTAGAAGTAAGCCCGCTATAAACTCAGTAAGCAGAAAACAAAAGTACAGTATCTTGTGGAGAACAGATAAACAGACAAACCGACCGTGCGCGGTGGAGTACTGGGTAATAAAACACATACAAGCGTTAGTTGGCGTCCTACACTAGCTGCGTATGGGCGTATGGTTTTTTTACGCTCTCAATGAGCGTTGTTGGCTCTCTTGTTCTATTTATACTCTTTGCTTAAAGCTAATACATTTATCCTTCAAAAAATAGCAAACATTAATATTTTCTACAAAAGAGTTTTGAATTTAATGAAACTTTACATGAACCTTAAACGTAGGGTATATTTCAACTTGAATTTCCATAAATTGGATAAAACTTGTTAATTATAATTTTAACAGATATTAATCAAGGAATGATTGAGGATTACTGTATTATAAACTAAGTTATTTTAGTGTGAACACATGTGGACTATTTGAAAATTCAATCCAAATTCGGAATAATTTTTAGTTTTACAGTCCAGTCAATCTATAACAAAATTATAATGAACCTACTGTAGAACTAATTGCAATGGAAATTATTTGCGGAATCTGTTCCTGAAGTATACATGTAACATTCTAAAAGTCTGAAAAAATCAGGGAGGGGAACATTGTTAATTTTAAAGGTATTTAATGAGTTAACACCCAACGGCATATTGTGTCGCATTGCACAACTATTGTGTTGAAGCATATAAAAGCCTGTTGTTGCCAGGTTGTTGGTAATGAAAAATGGTTAATAATATGATAGACGGCCATGCGTGAATCAATGGCAGGGAACACATTGGTTTGTCGAGTCAAAGGGATCTGTTACCCAGTGATCTCAAAAATACCTCCATGGTAGAACAGATTCACTCAATCAGTGACTGTCGTCACATGCATTCCGCGTTCTACTTTAAATAAATTTTTATTTTTTACAACGGGTACGCAGATATGTCGCCTACGTACAATTGTAGGAATGTTTAATAAAGTATAGTCCTCATTTTGGTCTGAACATACATTCGGCCAACAACCAATCCAGATTTCAGGAGGGAACGTAATGCACAACGTTCACACGTGCACAGTTACATTAATGTGACATCATTACGTTCTACGTTGACGCAAATCAAAAGTTCCCTGTTATATCTTGTTTGTCTTGAACAAATCCCATCGACAATACCAAGCGAACTTCAGTTAAATTGTTCTATGGTTTTGATTTTGAACTTTGTTGTGCATAACATTTATTAATCTACATTAGTGATGATGCATTTGATAATGGGAACTTTCTCGGCCCTTAATCAAACCAAAATTGCTTGAATTGTCTTCTCTGCCAGCCTCATGAAATGATGTGTTCCAGTATGCCTTGTCTTACTAGATGTTCACACTGTGATCGTAATAAAAAATGCTGTAAATAACAACATAGATAAGGATTAGTTGACAATTTATATAATTATCACTATTAGTGTTAGTGATGTAACAGGCACATCCAGCAACATGGAACTTTCTTAACTCTTTTTTGCTTAATGCCATGTTTCAAAAATGCCTCCCATTGTTTGTATATTTCTTGTCTCTTATTGTTTACATGTGCTTAATTGTGAGCATAGTTACGTTCATTCTTATGAAAAGGGCTCATTCTAAGTTGAAACTACCTTCCGTGACATTACATTGATTGCTTTTGATATGCAAAGTTCATTTATCCCAACAACTTTTCTTTTGTTGATTACTAATCTTGTATTCTGAATCTTTCTTTTGCATTATATGAAAATTACAAAAAATAATGTAAATGTTTTTGTATAGTGCTTGTAATTAAACAGTATTGCTTTTAATGTTTAGTCATGCTATTTTTATCTTTGTTATTTTATTTTTTTGTTTTTATTATTTTTTTTTTACATTATCATTTTGCCCTATATAAAGGTATTGTATGAAGATTACCAATACATGTTAGTGACAAATGTTGAGTGTGTGTGGTAATAAACAAAATCAGTATTTGAATGGAGCCTATCAGTAACACTACAAAGCAAACTTCTCACCTGACAATTCTTATTTAAAACAATTATTGTTCCATCTTCCGTCTCAAATTCTCCATGGTCCACTAGGCATCGTACCTGTAGAAATTAATAAGATTAATACAAGTAAATGTAATTTTTTTCAAAATTTATATAACATAATATTTGATTAGTAATTATAACACCCTTTCAAATAACTTTAAAGCCGATCGCAAGTGTTTTCCAGATCTGGATAAATTGTTCAAAAGTGAAAAAACTACCTGGCATAGAGAATCTATTTGGCTATCTAGTTGAATAGTCCATGAAGGAGCATTTCTAAGATCTTATTTCCAGATTCAGTTTCATTCAAATTTAAATAATTTGTGTATAATGACAAGAGCAAATTGTAAGACATTGGACCTGTGTTCCTATACTTTTTGGAACAACATGTACTGATGTAACAACACTAGCATCAGGTGAATGCACTAGGTTGCTATGTGTATGTACACTACTTCATCACCATGTGTTCAGAAAATAGCTAAATTCTGTAATTTATATAATTACTGTATAGGTCCTTGATGGTTTATCAACTTACTTCAATATATAAACCTTTTGGAGGCTTTGTATTCTGTAATAAAAGAAAACAAATATTTTTAATTCCATTGGCTTGCTTAGACCATGGGAAAGAGTTTATGTTTACCATGTGTTTACACATGAATTATCCCATTATCAACTAAAAACCTGAGTGCATAAACTCCCCTAATATAAACCTAAACCTCAACTTAAGCCAGAACTCTCCTGGGTTAGACCCAAACCTCACACTGACTAATTGCATGATCAACACAAGGCCAGCACTCACCTCCAGTAGACTCAAACCTTACAGTAATTGCATGATCAACACAAGGCCTGAGCTCAACTTGAGTAGCTCCAAACCTCACTAATTGCATGATCAGTATTAAATCAAAATACAAAGTGGACCAGAGGGAGAACTTTCACAAAATGGAGGGTCTGGACCACCTCAGCTTCACCATGGGTGGGGTAAGAAATCTATTGATTATGGCACCTTTAGATGGCTGGTTTGTTTTTATTTCATGCTCAATAATCTAGTACAAAGAAAATCATTAAACAATGAAAGCAACATCAAAGGAATCAAAAACAAGGAAATAAAAGGACAAATTTACATACAAAAAGAAAACCAATCAACAAAGATAAGAGCAACATAAAAAAAAATATAAAGAAATCAGACAATTCACAAACAAATACAAAAGAAAGGTACAGTTTTAAACATCAAAAAGCAGGAAGAAAAATCACCACATCAACAGTGAGAAAATCAAATAAAACCATGGAAATGGCACTCTCAGACATAAATTTGACATAATTTTCTTTTTTTCTCCATTTTAACCCACACATTTAATCCGCCACTGATGATTAACATAAGACTTGCACTCACCTGAGTTAGATCCAAGCCATCTGAACCTAATGATCTCATGTACTTTGCTAATGACTTGTTATAGCGACCAAACCACTGAACCTATGATAACGTGACAGGACATGATTGATGAAAGCATAGACTGTGTTTACAATGTTAATAACAATGACAATAATAATAATAACAACAATAATAATAATAATTAATAATAATATCAGTAATAATAAAAATACTAATACTAAATATTAATAATAGAGGTTTCACAAGCAAACGAATATGTGTACGCATAGGTTTAGCTATCCGTAACGGTTTTTAGCCATGGTGTGCTTTTCACAATGACAGCAAAGTTTAAGCACATGGCCTTAGGCCTAGCCTAGGCCTATTCCGTTTTCTACTAGAAATCCAAAGTTTCCTTGCGCGTTTCTCACTTATGTGTAGTGAGCGAGATATGCGTGATGTCCACACAGGTAACGGATAGCAACCAGCGTATGATGTCATAAATGATGACGTATGCGTCACACTAACTGTATGTGTTCGCATGCGAAACCTCCCTAACATGTACATTTTTTATATGCACTCTACAGCTTCTCAAGTCTCAGTGCTTAATTCACTAATTATCATACAGAAAGAAATTTCTTGTCACTGTATTATCAACCTTTATTGGGTCAAAAAAAAAAGTTTAATAACAATGGTGATCGTACTGGCCAAATTAAACAGCGTCAATTGTATGAACCCCAGAATTAGGCCTACTACAGTATGAACGATTTTAAACCAAAAAAAAACTCCTTTTCTTTTGGTACTGTGTTAAACATCCAATAAGAATTTGTGATTGGTGTAATAATAGCCACTTTCTTTTTCCCCTTATGACATGTATTCAACAAAGTAGGCCTACAATTTGATATAAAATTGAATAGCTTTCATGATACTTAACAATTATTTTGATTATTCTAATATTTGATAACTTAGTAATATCAGGGCTCAACATAGTACTAGATCAACTTATATGTCTAGAGTCTGCAATTAACTTGCCTAGTGGGTAGTACTCTATATTTAAATTATGCATACCCTTAACTAACCATATTGAGTAATTTTATGTTATGTTAAATAATTGTTCTGGCTTTTGGCTTCAAGAAAATCATACTGAATTTGATTTAACCTACCTCATTTTCTGAGAGGTTATGCTTTACATCAGCAGGTAAAACACTCCCAAATTCCCATCGCATTTGTCTGATTACTTGCAAGCGGTTGTATCTACATATCAATAAAATAAAGTGATAATATTTATACATCACATATAGACTGTTGGGCAATAAGGCATGGGAGTGAAACCCCTCCTTTCTCAAAGAAGGCGTACAATGTGCTCACAGCCTATAACTATTCCTTAAGCTTGTTTTTCACTAGACGAATATATTCGTGCGAAAAGAACACGTTGGTTGATGCGCATTGGCATTCACATTTCTATCAAAGTTCTTCGCTTCAGCGAAATCAGTAGTTCGAAATGTTTCTACTTTTTACGAAGAAAAAGAAGGCACAACCAATCAGAGCTTCTTAAGGGGCCAGATTAAAAAACTCTGCAGGTAGACTAATAAGAACCAGTGGTTTAGAGAATAATAATAATAATACATGATTTATATAGTGCACATATCCACTTTAAAAAATACTCAAGGTGCTTGAGGTAAAGACAAAAACTTTGAGCAGAAAATAAATCCCAAAACCTAACCCAGAAAATAGCATAATGTAACAAAGACAGGAACGGCAGAAGACACCAGCATCACCGCTTTGTTTATTAGCAATAAACCAGTGACTGGAAGTGTTTCTATAATTTTTTCGCTGTAACGCAAAGACGCTATTCCTTAAGCTTGTTTTTCACTAGACGAATATATTCGTGCGAAAAGAACACGTTGGTTGATGCGCATTGGCATTCACATTTCTATCAAAGTTCTTCGCTTCAGCGAAATCAGTAGTTCAAAATGTTTCTACTTTTTACGAAGAAAAAGAAGGCACAACCAATCAGAGCTTCTTAGGGGCCAGATTAAAAAACTCTGCAGGTAGACTAATAAGAACCAGTGGTTTAGAGAATAATAATAATAATACATGATTTATATAGTGCACATATCCACTTTAAAAAATACTCAAGGTGCTTGAGGTAAAGACAAAAACTTTGAGCAGAAAATAAATCCCAAAACCTAACCCAGAAAATAGCATAATGTAACAAAGACAGGAACGGCAGAAGACACCAGCATCACCGCTTTGTTTATTAGCAATAAACCAGTGACTGGAAGTGTTTCTATAATTTTTTTGCTGTAACGCAAAGACGTGGACCCAACGGATCGTCTTTTTAATGAGGATCCGTTCAGATTGCCACTGACAATCAGCAGACGGCGTTGCATCATCTATCGCTCGCCGAAGCAAATGTGGATTCGTTGTACAACGGTTTTACAATGCAGTGAGTGTCTGGCTTTAAATGATGGTTTTTTTTAATAAGATGAAAATTGATCAAATCATAAAAAATGCCCGCAAGTTGATTGAAAATGATGTAAATAAGGTTGAAGATGTCTATGAGAGAGAGGCCATTACTCATTTAAAGAAAATTCTAGAAGACAACTTCCATCCGCTACATAAGGAACTCTTTATCTGTAGATCTGGCCGACTACTTCCTATGAAATGTAAAACAAATAGATGCAGAAAATCATTTGTGCATAATTCCATCCACTTACACAACTCAAAATTTAAAAGATAATCCATATTTATTTGCTTGAACGACCTGTGTATATGTAAAATGGTTTTGTGATAACGTATTTTTTTATTTTTTTTATTTCGCCTTATGTATGTTTTTATCTAGTAGTTAAGATTTCAAGTGTCAACAGGAAAAATTTCATGTATACTTCATTGTAAACGTGACAATAAAGAAAATCTTATCTTATCTTATCTTTATGGGTAAGCATTTTTTAAATACACTAATTTCTATGTTCAAGTTGATAATTTTTATGTTACTTCAAAATGGGCAAGTAAATTTCACAAAATGAATTGTATGATTTTTTTTGTTTTTTGCAATGGACAGTACATCTTTAAATACATTGTCATTTTGTAATGGTATGCAACATAATCAAATATGCAGGTTCATTGAAATACAGCAGGGGTGGGAATAATTATCGGTCGGAGGGCCAAAGTGAATTTTTGATTTAACACCGAGGGCTGCAGCCAAACTGTCATGTTTCCAACATGCTTCCAAAAATCTGCATGCACTGTTTTTATACAACTTTATTCTCAGTTTTAATATTACTTTTTAACAGATGAACGGTGTCAGGCCGTAAAAAAAAAGATTTTTTCTAGCCAATGATGTTTGTTTGGCTGAACATAGGGATTTTAATTCATTTTCTCAGGCCTCAAAAAAATCACTGTTGGGCTGCATGCGGCCTGCAGGCCGCACTTTGCCCACCTGTGAAATACAGTAACTGATTTTAGGTAATGATATTCTTACAAATAAGCTAGCAGTAATCGCTTGTTCCTGTGGAGGCAATCATGTCGAAACTGGACACCAGCAAGCATCCTGGTTTCACCTGCTGTACTGGATGACCTAAAATATATAAATGAAATGATATAGTTATATTATACAGTTAACAATGTAACAAAAAAGGTATGAAAACTATTATTTTATTAATAAATAAAAATAAAATATGTAACATTAATGTAACAAAGGTATTATAACTTTTTATTTTACTGTAAGTCTTTAAAGAAACAATAGAATTTTCACACAAGACCTTGTCTTTTATTTATATAAATTCTTTTTGAGTTGCAGCTGTTAAAAAAAGATTTATTTTCCCTCAGTAAAACAATTCACACACATAACTTAAAATGTACACAGTATTAAAAAGATAGATCAGTAGCAGACCAAAAGTTTTTTTTTTTTTTTTAATGTTCTCGCTAAGGTATGCAGTAAAAACAGTTATTCCCATGGCAGTCCACCAACTGATTTAAAATTTGAAACATATAAAAATAGTGTAACAAACAACACCCATAAAAATCTTTAAAAAAAAGATGTGATGGAGAAAATGAACCAACATGGTCTCAGCTCATTTAGCAACATTCTAATGGGAACAAAACATATAGTGAATATTATACACTCATTCCATCAGGACCATGACAGGGCAAAGCCTATCAGAAGCATCACACCTTGCTTAAGACCGAAGTCCTTGGCGTGGCCTCATTGCGATCACAGCAGCAGCAGCTTCCTGATCAAGGAAGGATATTAATTATATTATCATATTACAGTTCATATTGTTAAAAAAAGATATATGAAAAGAATTTTTTCCCTTTATCTAAGCTTTAGAATGATAAGACAAAAAATCATAAAACTCGTACACATCAACTTGGTTTTGATGAAAGAGCGCCCGCATCTCTTCCAACACCTGCCGCACACCATCATCCTGTTGAGAGAAACGATTGACACAAATTATCCAATATTTAATGTACACCCAACTAAATGATCGAATAGTTTTATCTGATTTTGTATTGTATCGATAGACCTAATCTATTTTCAAACAAGAAAATAAAATCAAGTTTATTAGTTTAAAAATATATTAGGTACACCCACTAGTGTGATAATATCTGTTCATGTTTATAGGTACTAGAGAAAAGTGGGCCAGATCGTTCACAAAACATGGGCACAAGATCAACCTGGCATGGGTCTAATCGTCTTACACAGCTCATATGGTAGGACTAGCCAGCAGAGTAGAGAGGTTGGTCGCTAATGCACTTTCACCCCTAACTTATAATTCTTTATTTTTTTACCTCAATGTTTTTCTCATAATCACAACAAATCATTATAAAACATGTTTACAGTACATGCTTCAACCACTCACAAATGTAGCTTTTTCAACAAAAAAAATACCTTTATATAACATATACAGCATTTCTGTGCTGCTGCTATTTTGCAATCATTAATAAATTGCCAGAATGTTTTTTTTTTTTTAATTCTTAAATTTTAAAACTATTGAATGGCAATGTTAAACTTTGAATCAGAATTTTCCCATGAAACATCCGACAACAAAATGCGGCATCATACAGTACCATCTTTCAGAGCGTCCTGTTTAACATTCAGGGTCTTGTAATTGAGGTTCCAGTGTCATTTTCGACAGAACGATTTCTCCCGGACTTTTGCCACCCACCCCTTTACATCTTCTCATATTTAATTTCAATTATACATTTTATTTTATAATACATGTACATATTAATTTTTTCATTTTACTTATTGTCATCCACGTATCATAGACATTAATATTCCAACATGGTTAGTGGAGCTTAAGCATTGCCCATAATATCTCCTTTTATGGATAACTAATAACTTACGGTAGGTAGCCTAATTATAATGATTATTACAAGAAAATCTTACTGACATCGTGTATTCGTCTTCTGTTTACTCACAACATTCTACTTCAACAATAATATTAAACAACAATAACGACAATAAATTAATAATATTTACTTTAAAAGTACTAATTAGTCATAATAACGATAATAAAGGTGATAACAACAATATTAATAGTAATTTTTATTTTAAAAATACTAATAGTAATAATACCAATTGGTAATAATAATAATTAAATATCTAGTTTAATAATACTAATTAGTGATAATAACGATATTGAAGGTGATAATAGCAATAATAACAATAATAAATTAAAGATAATGTTTTTTTTTATAATAATAATAATAATACTAATTAGTAATAATAATGATGATACTTATAATACTAGGCCTATTTAGTAATAGGGTAATAATATCGATAATAAAGGTGACAACCACAACAACAATAATAATAATATGAGAAAAATACCAATAAAACACCAATAACAATAATTTTTAAATTACTATTATTAAAATAATAATACTAAGACTAATATAATAATAATAATAATAATAATAATGTGAATAATAATAACAATATGAATAAATTGAAAATTATCTATTATTTATATGGTAACAATAATACTAATATCAGCAAAAATTTAAACAATACAGATGTTAAGACTAATAATTAATATTAAAACTAATGGTAATAAAAACAACAATAATAACAACAATGAAAACAATAAAACAGCAATAATAATAACAATACTTTATAGTAATACTTAAAGAATTAGTATTTTATACTTCATGAATTACTCCTTCAAAGTGTAGTACCAGTAAATAGGCTGCAGTTGACTTGTGGCCGAGTTGACTTGTGGCCGAGTTGACTTGTGGCCTAGTTGACTTGTGGCCGAGTTGACTTGTGGCCGAGTTGAATTGTGGCCGAGTTGACTGTAGCCGAACTTTTTGTGGCAGAGATGACTTGTAGCCGAGATGATTTGTGGCCAAGTTTGACTTGTGGCCGAGTTGACTTGTGGTCCGAGTTGGATCAGATTCTCACAACGGTATTATTAAGTTGAAAAAGGTACTTTGTGAGTGGTAAAATCATGTACATGTAAACATGTTTTATAATGATATGTTATGACTATGAGAAAAACACTGAGGTAAAAAAATTAAGAATTAAAAGTTAGGTGTGAAAGCACATAGTGGCGAGAGGTACTACTTATGATTTACTGTACAGACGATCAGTCACAGGACGATCTGGCCCAATTTGAAAGTGGGCCCGATCATCCTGAAAATGGGCCCGATAGTCTGGAAATGGGCCCAGTCGTCCTTGATTCACTGATTCTGTCTAACAAATGTAAAGTACCACTGGAGCTCCACATGGATGCTCTTTTTCCATTACTGTTTCCATTATATCTAATTATTATATACCTGTTAATAATGAAAGTTTTTTTATATCGATGTTCCTGTTTTTTTTGTGTAGATATAATTACCTTAGTAGTTGTTTAAACTGATGACATATTAAACTGGGCTGTAACAAAGATAAGTTGAGCTCCAAATGTGAAAAAAAGAAAAGTACTTCCTTATTAGAATTAGGAAAATTTAATGTTGAGCGTAATGTTTTATCTGTTTAATGTATCTGTTACACAATCGGATTCAATACTCAGCAGTGTGATTTGGTTCAATAATAAGGGGGTAAAAATGCTGGTAATCAAACAAGCTAGTAAGATCATAGGTACTGGCGTGAAACAACCATGTAGCCAAGGACCCCAATGATACACAACTACCCAAATGATACGGAACTACCTGAATAAACACCCAAACGACAGGAAATTACCAAAATGTGTATACAGTAATTAACATTGAAACCTTTTTAATTTTTAACATTAACAAGTATTTATTTGTCAGAATTGTTTGTAATGGTTTTATAACTTATTTAATCACTTAATAATATTATATACAGTACATTTTCGTATATAGGCCTATGTATTTATATGATTTATTCTATTAATAGATGCTAATGTTTTTGTTTATTAATGTCATACGCGTTACTATATCATTCATTCATTTCATCCGTTTCTGACGTCATCTGAATATTTTCGGATATAAATTATCCATTTATAATATTAATGTCGATTTTGGGCTTAAATTCTGTTACATGTGAAACTTTTCGTATTTTTAAAATTTTTAACAGTATTTATTTGTCCAAATAAAGCCATGAACGTCCTCAATACGGTTGTTACATCGTTGTTTACATCCTCTCGCCATCGCATAGGACGACGATCAGGTTGGAAATTCATTTGATAATTAGATAACCTGTGCAGAAAATGGAATATCCCGTTAGAGGTCCTTACTACTGTAGAAGATATTGGACCTGAGCTACTTACACGGGGTCCATGGATCGCACTTGATCCCTAATACTTAGGCCTAGGCCCCTAGCCTACCCTAGCTAGGTTGGCAATAGGCCTAGCTAGGCCTAGTCAGGGACCGGGTCTATCTATGCTAGGCCTGGCCTAGCTAGCATTTTAGTAGAGTACCACTCCCACCCAGTGAATCCGAGTCATAAATTAGCAATAGTCTTGCACCTACTATAATATTATATACCGTGTATTAAATTACATGGAACCACTTACGTTAAAAGTTAGAAGAGAACCGTCAAGAGATCGCTGAAGGTCTCTAATCAATTCAAGTGCTAATTCGCCATACATGTTTAGACTTTTCGCGCTCTCCAAACCATAACAGATAGGCCAACAAGAGCCTTTCCCTTAATTATATAGGTGGCAGTATAACTGATATCGTAATCTGATGACATTTGAGTTTCCCACTAACATCCTTGTTTTTTTAACTCCGACAATCAGCGGATGGTGTCGCGTCGTCAAGTGTATGCATTCAAAATGCATTATGACAAATGTAGATAAGTTATAATATGTGAAATTTAGCATCAATCATTTGAACGGGTGCTACGAAGTAAAACTTATTAAATTAAATTATTGTGCTCAATAGATATTCAATGTAGGCCGCTATGTAAAATATTCGTGAGCATAAATGGACATTTCAAAGTTCAAAAAGATCATACCCAAACCATTAATGTTTAATAATTTAAATCAGGAAACAAAAATAATTTGCCCAATACCGGTAGTGTGTTAGAAATGCTTCAGATTTTACTCAGAAATTGGCAACAACAGAATATTGGACTACTGCGTGTTGTGGTTTATTTGTAAAATAAAGGAACTAATAAATTGTTCTTAAGTACAGTGCCAGACAAATATTTTGTTTATTCGCACTTTTGTTGTAAATAAATAGTTGAATGATGTCATGTTTTACTGAGAATCTGAATTGAAAAAGGTATCATAATGGGATATAGGTCATATTTATCCATGAGATGGATTCTTATTTCTGAATAAAATAAAGAAAAATAAGTGTGTTGAAATTATTTTTATTGTTGCTATACATTTTTTAAAATTTTATTTCTATAGAATAGTTGTAAAAATAGTATACGGTATTAAACATGAAGAACATGATGGGCGCAGATCATGGGACGCGTCCCCCCACATATTTTAATTTAAGGGGGGGGGGGGCAGGTTGGTCCCCTCACTTTTCGTCCGCAATGTCATTTCATAAGTCAAGATGTTGCCTGAAAAAATGGTTAAATACACGACTTGAGTGCGCGTGGCCTTTTTATAATTTGAGAAGTATGAGAAAAAGCGTGTAAAACTAAAGATAAGATTAGTTTTCGGCACATGAAGTGGAGTAAAGTAAATACATCAAAGACAATTTTATTTTTTATGGTACATCACAGCGATTAAATAGATAGATGATGATGAATCTTACTACAGTAGGCCTATATAAGTGTGTCGTTTCCGGCAATCTAAAGGTACTACAGTATTTCCCCAAATTTTCCCACCTCAGTCCCAACTATGGCGGGGTTCAGATCGGTGTGGACTTACGGCTTTGAAGTAGGTGAAGTCAATAGATCAAAGACAATGTTTTTAAGTTTTATTTTTTATTAATATATTAATTATATAGGCCTATCTATGGTTGCCGAACACTACTGGTAAAGATCATGAGAATTTTTATGGCGCTTCATTTTGAATAATTATTATAATCGTGATGTGATGATGATGAATTTTACTATATAATAGTGTCATTTTCAGCTGTCTTGAGGTACTATGTTCTCTCCTCATGAGCCCCAACCATGGTGGGGCTAAGGTGGATGTGGGCTCACGGCTTTGAAATAGGTAAAGTAAATACATCAAAGATTTTAAGTGGTACATTTTCTATGGTACATCACACCATGGAGGAAAGAAACAGATAATTAAATCTCTATGCTTGCCGGAAATCCTTGATAAATAACCATGAGAAATTTGTTGGCGTTTCATTTTGACTACCAGTATAATATAATGGTGATGTGATGATGAAAATTAACGATTCTGAACAATAAATAACCCAGCTAACAATTTTACGTTTAAAAAAAACACGTTATAATGACGTTGCAGTTTGGTATTACTTTCAAGAGGCAGCATTATTAATCGGATCTTCTATAATAATAATAATAATAATAATAATAATAATAATAATAATAATAATAATAATAATAATAATAATAATAATAATAATAATAATAATAATAATAATAATAAATAATATTAAATATAATCCCACCCAATATCCTTATCACAATATATTTAAAAAAAAACCTATATCACTCTACTCAAGTACAAGGATAGAATTGTACAAGCTCACTGTATCATTTGAACCCAATATTCTTAAAGCTATGGACTAAAATTTTCCAAATGTGGAACTTATCGGAGATATCCAAAAAAAAGGGGATACCAATGTAAATTATTTGTTCTGAAGTTGGAAACAGGGGGTTATAACAAATTAGCCTTAAATTAATGTTTAAACTTAATTCATCCCAATTTAAGAATTTGAAGAATACTATATGCAATACGACTTTGGCATAATATGTTATAGAATATGGAATGCTATGGTTAATCGAACGTGAGCTAATTGTAAATTGTTGGCGGTAATCATGTCAGTGGAACAACACGGCATGTTTTTTATATTTCTATTGTTGTATTTGAATGTTGCTTAATTAAACTTGCACCTGGATTGACTGTTACATTTCTTTTGTGCAATTTTATGATTTGTAAATAAAGAAGGATGAACACATAAATCATGTGGAAACGTATGTACCCTACACTGGGCCTAGTATATACTGAATCGCAAAAACATTCATTCAATAAAGCGGTAATAGTAGGCCTACATAATAATAATAATAATAATTTTGGCTTATATAGCGCATTATGCTAAAGCCTCAATGCGCTTAACAGTAAAAATAAAATTCGGGGAAAAAAATTAAGAAAAATACAAGCTAAAAAGGTGAGTTTTTAAAGCTGCCTTAAAATCATCAATTGAAGTTGCCTGTCGGATTGTCATAGGCAGAGCATTCCAAAAAAAGACAGAAGCCCAAGAAAAAGAATGACTACCATAATGCTTTGTCGACGGGCGAGTGGAATGAGCAAGTAGAGATTCTGAACTAGATCTCAGAGACCTCTTAGGAATGTAAGGATGAATGAGTTGTGAAATAAACATTGGCGAGGAATGATGAAGTGCTTTGAAAACAAATAATAAAATCTTGTAAGTAATTCTCTGTGTTACAGGAAGCCAATGAAGGTGCCCACAGGGGTGATATGATCCCTAATTGGGCTTAAAGTGACCAAACGGGCAGCTGCATTCTGAACTCGCTGAAGTTTTGAAATATCCTTAGCTGGCTGTAATATAGGTCTATTAGAAGATTTATTCAAGCATCTTTAACCTTCCCAATTATAATGTAGGCATTGATTGAATGATAGAAGATTCAACTTGTATTTGTCTATATATAAAATATACAGTTGTTTTGCTTAAATAAAATGACATTCGATTATGACAAACGACACTATGCAGTAAGGCCTACTGCAGATAAAACAGTAAAATGGAGAAAAAAAACAAACCCCATTAAAATGGAAGTGTTGAATGAACAAATTCTCTGTAGTTTAAATAAGACAAATTTAAAGGCCATATCTTCTGGTGAATAGCTCCCCCACTCCACTCCCCAACCCTCCCCCTGGCACTCGATCCCGCAGGTATATACATTTACTTCCCCACATACAATCACCATTGGTGCCCTGGCAATAGGCCACCACAGGCTGTAATTTCTTTCTTTTCCATCCCATTCCACGGAAGGGGTGTGGAAGGCCTGTGGTAGACCCAAAATCTGTCTCTTATACACATCTGCTTCTTAGGTTTACAACCAGGGACCTAAAAGCCAGGATAGTGTTTTCACTGCACAACGCTCCCTGATTCAAGTGACCAATCAGCGTCGCCAACGTATTCGGCGATAGCGTGTAGATGGAAACCAGACTTAATGTATTTTGGATACAAAGAATTCTGGGATGATTTCGAAAGTGGATCAGTTGAATTTAAACACCACATTTTACTTGACGACCTTTATTCAAAATTTCCTTATGATAGAATCGGAGGGATTGTTGATCATCATTGTAAACAGTACTTAACTGCTATATGGAAATACAGAATTACAATTACATTAAATTATATACCGCCCATTAATTAAATACGTAACAACCTTTATTATTATTTTATTATAGTTATCTTTGATTCTGTGCTGAGTTATCACTTTATATACTATTATTGTTATTTTTTCTTTTTTCACATTTTTTATTGTTTTTGTTTACTTTATTTGATTTTATATTAACAGAGAAAGTAATTTTAAAGGCCATAACAATTTAATAAAAAAAGAATTTGCAAAAATAGTAATATGATAATAATGACGATAATATTAATAATAATAATAATAATAATAATAATAAAAATATTTTAAATTAGTAACATTAGTTACTAAAATAAAATTAATAATGTTGATGGTAATAAATGATAAGACCATGTTAAGAATCATAAAAACAATTATAACATAATATTAATAATGTAATAATGAAATAAAAATAAAAACAAAATAACTATACAGTAATGATAGTAATAATAATAATAATAATAATAATAATAATAATAATAATACTAACAATAATAACAATAATAATATTAATATAATTAATAATAGCATTGAAAGTGAGAAGGTCTTAGCTAACTGTTGTACAGTATTTCCAAATACTGTACCAGTAAAATACTGTAATAAACTACTTTTTTATACTCCTCTGTTTAGAACTTTTATATTTTGTTTTGTTCGTTGTTTTTCTTTGTTTTGCTTTCTTTTTATAATTTTCTTGATTTGGTATGTTTCCTTTATGAACGCACCATCATTCTGATGTGTGCCGCTGATCTAAAAGCGTATGTTCAATAAAGTTCAGTTCAGTTCAGTTCAGACTTTATTGGATTGGTATACAATCATGACCTACCTTAATGCAAGATTAATTAAATCTAATTTGTTACAGCTGTACAATTCCAAGCGATTCTATGGGCAGCGCCCTCAAAACTTCTGTTTCATTGTAGTTTTGAATCTCATTTCCCACATCTATTGGTTTCGCATTTCGCTTCTTTCACCCATTTCACTTCTTTCACCCATTTCACCCCTTTCACCCATTTCACCCGATCAAGTAATTGATTTTACACTTGATACGTGCATTGCACCACATTCCATGACACCTGGCGAAGAAACATATTCATTATGCCTGGCCTAATGTTTGTTAATGTTAAATGCGTGTTTTGTTGCCATTGTGAATGTGCAGGCCTATTAGGGGTGTCTAGAAAA